CAGAGGTTTTTTTTTTTTTTTTTTTTTTTTTTTTTTTAAGACAGAGTTTTTCTGTGGCTTTGGAGGCTGTCCTGGAACTAGCTCTTGTAGACCAGGCTGGTCTGGAACTCTCAGAGATCCACCTGCCTCTCCCTCCCAAGTGCTGGGATTAAAGGTGTGCGCCACTAATGCCTGGCTAACATGCCACAGAGTTAATGAAGGTTTTGGGTAGGAGGATAGACATTAAAGGCTTTACTGGAGGAGGTAAATGTGCAGGATGCTAGAAGATGTTGAGGTTGTCTCCACCTGAAATTTGAGGCCATTTGTTGATATGAACAGAATTGCATTGCTACATTTAAAAATCACCATAAACAAATGCTTTAGTGTTTTTAAGCAGTGCATACTCACTAATCTTACATTTTCTGTGGGCCCGCCCCACCAGGGCTTCGCTTAGTTGAATTTGTTACTCAATTTCTTATCCTGCTATAATCAAGAACTTGGGTCTCATTTGAAAGTCCATCTGGGGACTCATCTGCTTAGTTTTCTTGAATAGTTGTTGGAGGATTTGACCCCTTTTGGGCTGTTGGGCTGAAAAGGTTTTAGTCTTAGTTGTATGTTAACTAGATGCTGCTGTCACTTCTGTACATGTGGCTCTTTTCCAAATAGCAGCCTGAAGCCACAGTGTCTTGTTAATGTACTAAAGGAAGTGATAGCCTGTTACTTTTGTCATATTCTGCTGTTTAGTAGAAGGAAGTCTTGCTCTTTCCCATGCTCATCAATAGGTGACATAAATAGTAGGAAGAAGGGATAATTAGGAACCATTTGTAGAGCATGTCTGCTACAGAGAAGGAACAATTCAGTAATGGGACTGAAGTACGGTGATAATGGATAGACTTGAATATCTATCTGCTTTAGGTATTGAACTGTGAAGATGTGGTAAATGTTTGAGCAAAGCATAAATGTGTATAGAAAATTCATTACAGAATTATGTCTCTGCATGCCCCTTTTGCTGTAGTTTTACAATAGTTTGCTGTAGGCATGCTTGCATTGAGATCTTGGCAAATTAGTTTCCTTAAGACTGGGCATTCTTCTTATTCTTCATTATATATAGCCCAGTTGTAATGCAGTTCCAGAAAGAGGAACCAAATCAAAAGAAAACAGTAGAAACCTGGTGTCTAATGAAACATGTAAACGACTGAGGAAAGTTACTGTTTAATTGAGGGTCATAGGCAGGGAAGACTTAGAATTGGGATGGAAAA